CCCTGATGATTCGGGGCTCTGGACGGGCCCGGGGCAACTCGGGCTTGGATTCCCGAAAAGCGAACCCGAGTTAGCCCTGACCCGAGTTACCCCTGATGATTCGGGGCTCTGGACGGGCCCGGGGTAACTCGGGCTTGGATTCCCGAAAAAAGGAACCCGAGTTAGCCCTGACCCGAATTGCCCCTGATGATTCGGGGCTCTGGACGGGCCCGGGGCAACTCGGGCTTGGATTCCCGAAAAGCGAACCCGAGTTAGCCCTGACCCGAGTTACCCCTGATGATTCGGGGCTCTGGACGGGCCCGGGGCAGCTCGGGCTTGGATTCCCGAAAAGCGAACCCGAGTTAGCCCTGACCCGAGTTACCCCTGATGATTCGGGGCTCTGGACGGGCCCGGGGTAACTCGGGCTTGGATTCCCGAAAAAAGGAACCCGAGTTAGCCCTGACCCGAGTTGCCCCTGATGATTCGGGGCTCTGGACGGGCCCGGGGCAACTCGGGCTTGGATTCCCGAAAAGCGAACCCGAGTTAGCCCTGACCCGAGTTACCCCTGATGATTCGGGGCTCTGGACGGGCCCGGGGCAACTCGGGCTTGGATTCCCGAAAAAGGAACCCGAGTTAGCCCTGACCCGAGTTACCCCTGATGATTCGGAGCTCTGGAAGCCCGAGTTGTCCGGGGTAACTCGGGTCCAGGGTAACTCGGGCTTTCGGAGATGGACAAACCCCCCTTCAGTAAAACGTGGTTTAGCGCAAACGACCTGAGGCACAAACCTGGCGGGCGCAAGCCTGGAAAATAACGGCCACGGCGCCCTCTCGAGAACCGAAAACGGACAACTCACTAATCGACGTGTCACTGTTGGGGGTCCTGTCCACCCCCGAACGATTCGGGGCTCTGATCCACCCGGGGCCACGAGGGCGCACACCGGGACGATCGCGCGCCCCCCGGGGGGGAGCGGGGCCCGGGCCCGGCTCCTGAAGAAGGGCGCCCGGCGCGGGGGCACGAGGGGAGGAGGCAGCTGAAGGGGCCCCAGGACACACCAATGAATACACACAAATAAAAGTATGCCCCATATGTTCCTATATTTTCGGGTTTTTTGTCTTCCCCCCCACTTCTCATATTTTCCCATATCTTCCTGGGAATCGATGATTCCTTGTGTCTGTGTGCTTGTTTCCCCTCCTGAGCAACGCTCCTCCGGAGGAGGCTGCTTCTCAGAAGGCGCCGGCCTTGCACCTACGGTATAGGGTCGTGTCGTGTCGACCCCGGCGCTGCTCCCTGACGCCGCGGGGATCGTTCAACCTGGAACGATCGGCCGTGTCCGAAACGTCCGACCGTTCCACCTCGGCCGGGTCTGGGCCGCCAGCGGCGTTCCACGCCGAGCGCTGGCGGCGGGGTCGCCGACGGTCGGCACGACACGGACCCACCGCACTGATGAGGCCCGCGCCTTCCCTCCCCCCTTCCCGCCTCCCCCTCCCTGGCCTGACTAGAAACCAGACCACCCCAACCCAACCCGAAGACCCGAATTTCGGGTTGGGGGGGGTAAGGGTTCCACACGTGTTTTTGCGATGTTTCCCGACACCCCCCCCCACTGGAAATCGAGGGTAAATCTGAGCCTTCGGGTTGGGTTGGGGTGGTTTGGTGGGTGGTGATGGCCATCGCTCGGACGTCCCTTCCATGTGCTTTTGTTCGATGTCGCGCGTGGCCTTTTCGCCAGCTGGTCCAGGATGCTCCTCGAGGGCCCGCGCCGAAGGAAACATGCACACGTCCGAGCGATGCCAAGATCCTGCCCCCCATCGTCCCGACCCGCCTCCGCGCGTGGCAGCGAATCGCCCCCCCCTGGAACAGAGGCCTCCTCGATGGGGGTCGGAGACTAGCTGGGCTCGGAGGATCGCGCCGCGTCGCCAATGCATCGGCGATGCATCGGCGATGCATCGGCGATGCATCGTCGACGTGGGCGAGGCATCGGCGACGTCGACGTGAAGCAACTCAGGCCCCACGTCGGGCCGCGTCGGCGATGCACCGCCGATGCGGCGCGATCCTCCGAGCCCCGTCTGGTCTCCGACCCCATATCTCTAGGGAGGCCCGTAGACTGCAGTTGCCCCTCCTCCTCCTCCTCCTCCTCCTCCTCCGCCTCCTCCTCCTCCTCCACAATTACTCGCCCCTGACCTCCGCGTCCACGTGCTCGCCCTTCTCGGCTCGTGCCCGCCCGGGCCACAGCCACTCCCCGGGCGCCGCGGCGGCACCCGCGGCGGCGCCCGCGGCGGCAGCGCCGCCCCCGCCTGCGCCCGGCGCGGGCGCGGCGCCGCCCGGAGCCGCAGTGGACCGCTTGGCAGGCGCGCCGCCCGCGGCCGCCGCCTGCGCGGCGGGGGCGCGCCGCCGCTTGGGCGCTCGGCTGCTGTCGGCGGCGAGCGGGGGGGGAAAGTTGGGCGACCCAGAAGAGGGGCGCGGCTGAAAGGGGATGGTGCAATAGAGAGTTCGGGCACTTGGATCGCAGACGCGTTGCGCAGGAGAAGTGCATTGCATCGTGTAGCAAAAAAACACGCACTGCGCGCGAAAATCCGGCAATATACATTTGCGCCCCGGAATGTATTGCACACCCCAAATGTATTGCACGCCCCAAAAAGTATTGCACCAAATGTATTGCACCACCCCCTTGTCGCTGGACCCCCTTTTGGGTCAACCCGAGGACATGAGGAGAAGGCCTTCTCAGAAGGCGGCGGGACTCCTCGGAGGCCCTCGCGCCTTCTGAGGAGGTTCCCCGTGTCTTCGGGAAGGCTTATAGACAGCGTCTCAGGATGCCAGGGGACTTCCGCGCCCTCCCCAGACATGCGACGTCCTGACTTTTTCAGGACGGCGTCCCTGGAAGTCCAGACCCTTTCCCCGGGGCCGGTTTTTCATCCCGAGACGCGTTTCGACGGTCACGAGCCCCGGGGAGGGCCCCCAGGGGCCGAACATGGCGAAAGCCTTGCCGCCCTGAGTTATTACGACGCGATCCTGTCTGCGTCTGAGACGGCCTTCTCCTTCCCGCTGCCCCCTCTTTGAGCAGGGACCGACCGTCATGGCATTCCTATAGTCCTTCCACGAAACGCTCTTAGAACCCAAAAATGTTCTAAGAACAAGAACCATGTTATTAGAACACAAGCCCGATGTGATAAACCAAAGACCGACTCCGCCAAACATGTCCTGAGAGCATCGCCTGGAAACCACAAAAGGTTCCTAAGAACATTGCTTGGTTCAGCGCCTTCCTAATGGGGACTGCACTAACGGGTACTTTGGCCAGTGACCGGGCGAACCCAATCCTCCCCGATATGGGCCGCGCTGCAATGCCAGAAAGAGACCCTAAAGTGGCAACTTTCGGCAATTTTCCAAAGTACCCGTTAGCGAGTACTCCAGATTTCGTAATAAAGGGAGGGGGGTCTCATTTCGGGGGGGGGTCTCTTCCAGGGTATCTTGGAGGGCCTGGGGGGGTCTGGGGACGATGTTTTGGAGGGTTCTCCCACGGGGGGGGGGGGTCTGAAATGGCTCGTCCTGGAGGGTCCCGACCCCCTCCCTTGTATTCCGAAAGCTGGAGTACCCGTCACGGTGCCGCTGATTGGTACGGCAGGTTCGTGTCATGCCGACCCCAGCGTTGGTTTTTGACACCGCAGGGATCGTTCAACCTTGAACGATCGGCCGCTGCCGCAACGTCCGATCGTTCAGCGTCGATCGATTCTGGGTCGCCAGCGGCGTTCAACCTTGAACGCCACGCTGGGGTCGCCGCTGGTCGACACGACGCAAACCTACCGTAGGCCTATGTGACAGGGGATATGTCGACCCCTATCCCAGGCTTCGTGGTGTTCTGGAGTGGACCAGAAATGTGGGGCCCGACCCTGGGATACAAGATGGAAGGACGTCCATCCTCGATAGGAGTGCATCCGAAGAGCCCCCTTGGGGTGTACCCCAGGGTTCCCCCCCTTGTATAAGCGGCCAATTTTTTCGGGTGGAACTCGGGGATTGGGGGAGAAAAATCGCCTGCGACTATGGGCCAGCCGGGACGCCTCGCCACTGCCCGCCCCCCCGCTCGCCGCCCCTGCTGGCAGCGCCGCCGCCGGCCGCCTCCGCGGCCGGCGCGGCGGCCGGCGCGGGGGCCCGCCGGGGCTGCGGGCCGCTCGCGGGCCCGCCCTCGATCCTCTTGGTGGTCTCCAAACCAGGTGGTAGGAGGAGGAGGAGGAGGAGGAGGAGGAGGAGGAGGAGGAGGAGGAGGAGGAGGCCGCCGACGCCTCCAAGGGCCGCCCAGGGCCCGGTGGTGATGGTGAGACACGCGGTGGTGACCCCGATTCCCCCAAAGAAATAATTCTGGGTCACCACCGGGTTTTGGGACACGCGGTCGCCACGAGGTTTTTTGCGTTTCCTGGGCCAGCCGGCGCTCGAAAACCATGACCCAAAGCGCCCAAAACTCACCACCGGGTGTTCTCACCACCACGTCTGGGGACCACCAATCCTCGGGCCGTGCTGCAGCGGATCGTGCTCGAAGGGGCCATGGGTCCCACAAGGAAATACACACACAAAGAACCGGATGCCCCAGACGTTCCAAGAGTTCCTGGGTTTGGGTCTCCCCCCCCACTTCCCATATCTTCCCATATGTTCTGGGAGATCGACGATTCATTTAGCCTGTGCTTTTTCCCTCCTGATTAAGGACCACATCCCAAAAATCATTTCGAGCAACCGGGAACAAATGTCGAAAAAGAGTGCCGAAGCAGTGTCGGAACAGTGTCGGGCGAGTGTCTCCCAGGGCCCAGCGCGCGAGAACCCTCGAGGTTCGGCACTTGTTTGGGTGCTCGAAGTTCTTTCTGGTGGTCCAGGCTAAAGTAGGCTGGAACATTATAATCCTCGGGCAGTGGTCAGCAGGGGAGGGGTCGACCCCTCCTCCAGAGGCCGTGGGGCTCTCGAAAGGGCCCAGAAAAGCTGGGGCCCGGCCCTGGGGACGGTCGAGGGGGGGGGAGGGGGGCGCCCGAAGAGCCCCCCGGAAGAAGGGTGTTTGCCAGGGTGTCCACCCGTCCCCTGAGCGGCCAAACCTTTCGGGCGGATCTCGGGGATTGCGGAGACAAATCGCCTGCGAGGAGGAGGAGGAGGAGGAGGAGGAGGAGGAGGAGGAGGAGGAGGAGTAGGAGGAGGAGGAGGAGGAGGAGGAGGAGGAGGAGGAGGAGGAGGAGGAGGAGGAGGAGGAGGAGGAGGAGGAGGAGGAGGAGGAGGAGGAGGCGGAGGAGGAGGAGGAAAGGGAGGGGGAGGAGAGTGTATCCGTGGCAAGCGCGTCGTCTCTCGAGCTGTGCGTGCTACTGATTGTCGCCCCTGGAATAACACACGCTGGTCGGACTTGCACGGCATGACTTGGCGGCGCGCAGAGGGATGTAGGGAGAGGGCGGAAGGCTTCTTAGGAGGCTGCTTCTTAGAAGGCGTCGGCATCAACTCTACAGACTAGGTCCGCGCCGTCTAAGAAGCTGGAGTGCTTCTAAGAAGCCTTCTCCCCTCCCCCTGCCCCCCTCTGCGCGTGGCCGAATGAATCTGGACGCCCGACCTGGGTACGGAGAAAATGGCTTCGATGGGCTCGACGCTCAACAGCAAAGCTTGTCCACAACCGACAGTGGCCGCTGTTGGGCCGGCGGCCTCATGACCCAAACGGGCGAGACGTCCGCGGGGGCACCGACAGCGAGTCCTTTTCAACAACGGCAAGGGGCGATGCCGGTAGTTGTACCCATCCTGTCCGATTGTCCCGAATCCCGCCTGCCCTCTGGGCGTAGGTGGTCTAGGGAGTCTCCTTTTCCAACCCCCTTCTTCCTCTTGGGGGAGGGACCCATCACTGTTCCCTATGAATATACACCCCCTCCCCCACCTGTCCAGCGGCCAACCCGGAACCATGCCGACTCCATGAGGGTCCGCCCCCAACCATCCCTGTCAAAAAACAATTCTAACCGCGCTCTGCCTCCACATTTGGATCATGCGCGGCCAACCCGATGAGGCCCTCCCCACTCAAAAAACATACAAAGTACACTTTGGGGCAAAGTCTTGAGTCATGTTCGTGAGTCCCGCGAGCACTTTGTATTGTTTTTGACAGGGACGGCGGGGGTGTCAGCATATTCCCTGCTGTGCGCAGGGCTACTAGACACAGTAACGGGCATTGGTTTTCGACAAGAATTGCGGGGGCCGACATGTTTCCCGATGTGTGCTGTCACGTGCGCAGGCGCACCTGACGCACTCTGCACGTGCCCCGAACGTGGCGCACCCGGCGCGGCTGGAGTGTGCGGCACACCTGGCGAACTCGGGGCACGTGGCGCATCCGGCGCACCAGGCGTGCCTGGCACGCTCGGGCCCCAGGGGTGCCTGGCGCACGTGGCGCCCCTGGCACGCGTGGCGCGCCTCGCCCAAGCGTCGCGCACCTGGGGTCGGCTTCGGTTCCCAGTGGCTGTCCATCCAAAGGCGACCGCTGAACATGATCAGCCTCGGGTGGTACTGATTTGTTGGGAGGGCGGGTGGGAGTGAGCTAGACGACTTGCGGGCGGGTGGGCAGCTTGAACCCTCCCCCTACTACCCCCTCCCCTGGACCTGGACGGGGCGCCCCGCGAACGGTCAGAGCATCAAAGCTGGCCCAAAACGGCCTCAAGAGGGCCTCAGGGAGCCCAAAAAGATGCTGGTCTTTGTACCAACCCTGTCCGATCGTCCCGAATGAATATTGCACTTGCTCTCATCTACCAGCCTGGAACATACCCCCAACCCTAAGCTGGGTATCGCCTCATCACAATGCCAACCTTAGGGATTCTCCTTGTTTTTCAGGGCGCACCCCTAAGATTGTCATCGCCTCTTGGCGTGTCAATCTTAGGGATAGGGATGAGATCGAGGCTGGTGACTCATGGCTTCTGCTCCTGGCGGTCCGCTCCCCGACGAGCTCGAAGTCGGAATCCTCGACCGCCTCGGGGCCGCCGGCACGCGGGGGTCCCGGCTCCTCAGCGGGCCGCTTCCGGCTCCTGCAGGGGAAACAAAAAACGACGGCATCTCAGCACTGAGCAGCGTGGATCGGGGGAACCAGATGTCAGGATACAGTGGGGGCCCGACAACAAGAAACCTTCTACAGGAAGCCCAACCCTGAGACCCCAGGACGCCCATCGAGTTTTGGTGTGGGAACGTCAGGCTTTCCATGGCAAAACCATCGAAACCCAAGAGACGCAGGGCACCCCAGAGCCTAGCAGGGTGTTTCTTGGCATGGGCCTCCACTGTAGCAAAGGGTAGTGTAGAGAATCAGCTCGCGCAGCTCGTTTTCCTGACGCCTTCTGGCCCTGGGAGGGGCCCATGTGTCGAGGAATGGGCCGAGATCGGCTGCGTGCAGCAGGCTTCGTACCCCCCTCGTTCCCAGTCCCCCCCTGTCGTTCGGCCCCAATTTGACCGTCCGCGGTTCCAAGGAACGCGGCCTGGCCCCCACTGGCCGATGGACTCCCCTGGATGGAGATATTGGCCGTTTCCTTCAGGTCTCGAGGGGTATATCCCCAACTGGGGTGCTGAGATGGTGGGGGTCTGGATGGGAATAGCAGATGGGGATAGGGGTCGGTGAAAGGATTCTGAAGCACATGGTAAGGTTCGGGGTTGCGCACAGACAGGCCCCCAAAATAGACCCCGCTGGCCCGGACAGGTCTCCCGAATGGCCCCGCCTTGGACTGCTCCGGAGACCTGTTTGGAGGAACAGAAAAAACTGCATTAGTCAAACACTTCCAGGTCCGCGCTGATCCCCCCCTGGCGCGCGGAGCGCGCCAAAAGGATTCAAGCGCAGATCCAAGAAATCCGCGTGGAACTCCGAAAGTTTACGCTTCCGCAGTTTTGTTGATTCGACTGTGGAGGCCAGCGGGGGCCACCTGGGGGTCAGCCTATACCACCAGCACGCCGATCATGGCCAGGCCCAGTGACCCTGCGCCCGCCTGGCTTGGTCACGTACTCCAGACGTTGTAACAACAGGGAGGGAGTCACACCCCTCCCAGACGAGCAGTTTTAGACCCTGCCCAGACCAGGCATGAAAGGGCGGCGTTCTGCCCAGACCCCACTGGAACACTCACGACAGCTCAAATCTGACCCCCGCCCCAAAAGACGACCACCCTTGTCCAACGCCGGGCTAACGGCGGTATGGCTAACGGCGATGTTGAGAACTACAGTGGGGGCTCGGCCACAAGAAACCTCCGCAAGAAACCCAACCCTGAAATCCGCGGTTCGTTCAATGAAAATCCAAATTCGTCAATCGAAAATCGTCAAGATCTTATTTGGGGCCCATCGAAATCCAAGAAACCCAGGGCAGCCTGGCAGAATCCAACTGGTTTCTTGGCACGCGCCCCCACTGTACATGGTAGGAGATCACGGGCGGCACTCCCCTGCCTTGCCGCGAAAGGAGCCGAGCGAACACGCCACGGCGAATTGCGGGAAAGCGCGAGCCACGCGCTCCCGCGCAGCCGAGACCCACATCGCCGCTGCCCAAATCGCCGTTCGCCCGTATGCGGCTTCCCTTAACCAGCGACAAGTGAGACTCGGGTGCCAGGGGACTCGGGTTGGCCTGACGGGGCCATCATGAGAATGACGAGACCCCATCTGAACGCGCTCATCAAAAGATCAAGGGCGCCCCCGTCAAAAAACGTCGGCAAACCCGAGCTCCAGCTTACTCGAGTCTTACGTTTCCCCGAGTTTCCTCCTCCTCCTCCTCCTCCTCCTCCTCCTCCTCCTCCCCTCCTCCTCCTCCTCCTCCTCCTCCTCCTCCTCCTCCTCCCTCCTCCTCCTCCTCCTCCTCCTCCTCCTCCTCCTCCTCCCCCCTCCTCCCCCCTCCTCCTCCTCCCCCTCCTCCTCCTCCTCCTCCTCCGCCTCCTCCTCCGCCACGTCTTCATTTACCTCCGACGTCTTATCACGCATCCCGTCACCCTGGAGGGCCGAGGTATCCAGGGTCGGCGGCACTGGCCGTAAGACCTTAGCAATCCAAAATATTCAACAAATATTCAAAAGATGCCCAACCATACTCAAAAAATAGTCCCCGTACTAGTTTTAGACCTAGAGGGACAGGCCCGACTTAAAGCTACAGGGAGGTCTTCGTCGGAAGGAACAAGGAGGATTAAGCCCCCTTGGGGGGCTACTACGCCAGATTAGGCCGCGGATAAAGCGGGACTAGGCCAGCTTAAGCGGTATTAAGCGGCATTGAGCGGCATGAAGCGGGAATAGGCCGAATAGGGATGGGGTCGATGCATTCGCCCCTGCCCCTTAAAAAAAGCCCCCGAAGGTTGGTCCCTCCCGAGGGCTCCTGGCCCCAGCGATCCCCTCCGCAGCCAGCGCCTGCTGCCGCCACCAGTCCCTGGCCGCCGCGTCCATCTGCTGCCACTCGCTGCGCGCCACCTCCTCCGAGAGGGGCACGAGAGCCCAAAATCGAATCGATAAGTCGGATCGGCGATCGAACTGAATCGGATCGGCGGAGATCGGCAGCCGAGTCGAGAGAAGCCGAGCCGGCGGCCATCGGCAGGCTGCCATGCCTCCAGCAGGAGCTCGGAGCCCCAACTCGGAGAGCCCCGAGCCGAACCGACTCGGCATCGGAAGCCCCCGAGGCCGAATCGCCTTGCATCGGACCCGACACGAGGCCCTGGAGAGGGGGACGGGACACAGCTCCACGGGCCCCCCCCCGCTGCTCGCTCCCTCCCCTGCCCGACCGCTGCCCCGGCACGCGTCGAGCAGGGACCGACGGTCCTGGCATTCCTATAGTCCTACCACGAAGTGTTCTCAGAACCCCAAGATGTCCTGTAAGCACAAACACATGGCTCTCAGGGCAGAAGCCCGATGTGATAAAACAAGACAGCCCCAGCCAGATATGTTCTAAGACCATTTCGCGGGAACCACAAAAGGTTATTAGAACATTTGAAGGGGCTCCAGGACACACAAATATTTACACACAAATAGAAAGATTCCCCATATGTTCCCATATTTTCTGGGCTTCTGCCTTCCCCCTCACTTCCCACAGTTTCCCATAGTTTCTGGGGAATCGAGGACGAGTTGTGTCTGTGTGCGTTGCTTTTCCTCCTGATGACATTGCTTGGTAGGACTACAGGCACGCCAGGACATCTCGCCACTGCCTGCACGCGGCAGCCGCGCGGCGGGCCCTCGGCACACCCGCGCAAGTCGCCCGCGGGCGGCGGCCCGCGGGCACGGGCGGCGGCGCGGCCGCCGGCGGCGCGCCTGCGCGCCCGCGCCGGCCCCCGAGTGCGGCCACGGCTAGGGGGCCACAGGCGAACCCTGCCCCTACCCCCCACGATTTCTGAGGGGGAGGGTGGGGTTCACTGCGCTCGGGAGCTCCCGGTCGAAGTGAACCCCACCCTGCCCCTCAGCAATCGTGGGGGGTAGGGGCAGGGTTCGCCTGTGGCCCCCTAACGGCGGGCCGCGGCGACCGCCCCCGACCCCCGCGCGGCGCCGAGCGGCGGCGGGAACGGGGGCCCCGCTGCGGGGCGTGCCGCGGGGGGCGGCGGCGCGGCTCCAGGGCCTCCCCGTCGCGCCAGGGGTCCTCCTCGTCGGCTTTTGAGCTCCGCGGTCAGGCACGGCCGAGGTCCAAAATGAAGGTGGAAGGTGAGACGGCCCGTGGAGCAGGAAAGCCCGCTCCGGCGCGACGCCCCCGCTCAGGGCGCCTGGGAAGAGCCGGAGGCACGGTCGACGGTGAGGCTGATCCTCTCGGCGAGACACGCCGCACTCCAGGAGGTGCCGCGAGAGGAAGGGGGCCAGGAGGGAAAAGAGATCAGAGCCAGGTATCTCCTGGAGGGACGGGCATTCGATTGGAGCACCCCAGCCAATAGAGCGGCCGAACGGAGCGCTTGGAGGCATCATTCTGGAAGAGGCGCTGGAGCGAGGTGACGGGCGCGGCGTGTGCGCACCGCCCCGTATAGCTCCTGCGGGTGGCGGATTTGGCGAGGTCACCGCCGAACATGAACGTATGGGGCGCCCCGTCTTCGAAACCAGAGTAGTTCTGCAGTCAGGAGCGCGACGTCTCTGCGCGAGAGCATCAGAAGAAGCTCTCAGAGATGGCCACGCCAGGTGTTCTCGAGGCGCGCCGGGCGCCGATGCCGGCGGCAAGCCCCCGATGCTAGGGGACAGGCGCCGAACGCTCGCGACGGCGCCCTCGCGAGAGCTCCGCGACAAGCTCCCCAACTTGAGGCTGGGCAAAAAGAAAATTCGGCAGCGCCTCAGGGCATGCGAAGCCACACAAGCGCGTAGGGAACGCGGCCGCCCCCACCACCATACCGCCGGCGAGGATGCCGGCGAGGCGGCTGGCGAGACGGCCATCAGCGCTGCGCGAGGGCCAGACACCTGCCTCTACATTCGCCAGAGACCAGCCATGCATTGTAATTCCCATTACTCCAGTCAGCAGACCACTGCTCAATCTCCTGCTCACCCTCCTCGTCCCCTTCTCTATCCACCACCGTGGCCCCTGGCACGTTGAGGTGTGGTAGAATGCCACGGGCTGCCCGGCAGAGCTCCTGTAATCTTCTGAAGGCCCAAGCTGTCCCCAACATGGCTGTAAGACAGCCAAGGAGATTCCCAAGACGACCCAGGAGGGCCACAGGAGCATCAGTAGGGCCGCCGAGCCAAAGTCGTTGTTCCCTGAGGATGTCCAAGGAAGCCTCCAGGTTCGCCCCAGATGTCCCCAAGACGGCAAAATGGCCTAGAGGGGGCCCGAGGCGATCCAAGACAACCTGAAGAAACCCAACTCACTGATTTGACTAACATGTTTGAGCGTTTTCCGTGCTCTCGCCTTTTCGAATCCCCAGCAGCCCACGAAGGTCCAACAGCCTCAAGGCGGCCAAAGAGGCCCCCGATGGTTCCAAGATGGCCAGAGCGCCACAAAATGGCCCCCAAGAGGTCCAGAAGACCGCACCAAGAGGGCCCCAGGACGAGACCCTACAGCGACCGAACTATCTCCTTGACAGCCCCGAGGCACACGGATCATGGCCCACAGGGATCTCCACGGCACGAAGTAGAGAGGTTAATACAAAGTCTTGCCCCACAGAGTAAACAACCTTGTTGGGCGTAGCCACTCGGGCCCGCCGCCTTTCCCGCAGGAGGAAACACAGTGGCATACCCGAATACCAAACTCACAAAGATGTCTGGCCAGCCGCAAATGGCAGCTGCGCGAGGCAACTAACAAAAACATCGGCCCGATGGGAATTACACAGATAGAGTGGAGGCCAGTTCAAAAGAAACCTTCCACAAGAAGCCCAACCCTGAGACCCCAGGTCGTCCATTGATTCTTGGTGAGGGGACGTCACGTTTTCCATAGCAAAACCATCGAAACCCAAGAAACCCAGGGTACCCTGGAGGCAAGCAGGATGTTTCGTGGCACGAGCCCCCATTGTATTGCAACGTGCCGCGCAAATCCCCACACCCCGCGCGAGTCACCGAACAAGCAATGGGCGTGGCCACCGCCGTGCAAGAACACGTCGTCGGCGCCGAACCCCCCCCCGGGGGGGGCAGCCCGGGCCACACGAGGAAACACTAGCGTTAGGTCGGGCACGTCCCCCAACGAAAAATAACAGATACTCAACAAATATTCAAAAAAAGATCCAGAAATACTGAAAAATCGTCCTCGGACCATCGTTTGACTACTTCTCCTAACCATCCTGTGGTGTTGGGTTCTCGTTTTGAAGAGACTGTCCCCGCGTTCCTCATCCTCCTCCTTCCTCCCTCCCCCCCCTCCCCCTCCTCCCCCCTCCCTGCGTTTCACCCGCCCAGTACAACGCTTCGTGGCCCCATAGACAGATCCACCGAAGGTCCCAGTGGGACCGCCCGCATGCGTCAACCACGACCCAGTACAGCCCTTCCTCCCTGCGTGTCACCCATCCAGTACAGCGCTTCGTGGCCCCATAGGAAGCTCCACCGAAGGTCCCAGTGGCACCGCCCGCATGCGTCAACCACCACCCAACACAGCACTTCCTCCCTGCGTTACAGCGCTTCGTGGCCCCATAGGGAGCTCCACCGAAGGTCCCAGTGGCACCGCCCGCATGCGTCAACCACCACCCAGCACAGCACTTCCTCCCTGCGTTTCGCCCCCCCAGTACAGCGCTTCGTGGCCCCATAGGGAGCTCCACCGAAGGTCCCAGTGGCACCGCCCGCATGCGTCAACCACCACCCAGCACAGCCCTTCCTCCCTGCGTTTCGCCCACCCAGTACAGCGCTTCGTGGCCCATAGGGAGCTCCATCGAAGGTCCCAGTGGCACCGCCCGCCTGCGTCAACCATCACCCAGCACAGCACTTCCTCCCTGCATATCCCCCACCCACTACAGCATTCCGTGGCCCCATAGGAAGCTCCACCGAAGTTCCCAGTGGCACCGCCCGCATGCGTCAACCACCACACAGCACAGCATTTCCTCACGGCGTTTCACCCACCCAGTACAGCGCTTCGTGGCCCCGTAGGAAGCTCCACCGAAGGCCCCAGTGGCACCGCCCGCATGCGTCAACCACCACCCAGCACAGCCCTTCCTCCCTGCATTTCGCCTCCCAGTACAGCTCTTCGTGGCCTCACAGGGAGCTCCACCGAAGGCCCCAGTGGCACCGCCCGCATGCGTCAACCACCACACAGCACAGCGTGTCGTGGCCCAACAAAGGGGCCCCACCGAAGGCCGCAGTGACACCGCCCGCATGCGTCATCCCCACCCAGGACAGCGTTCCGTGGCCCCATAGGGAGCTCCACCGAAGGTCCCAGTGGGATCGCCCACATGCGTCACACCCACCCACTGCCGCGCTTCGTGGCCCCATAGTGAGCTCCACCGAAGGCCACCGTGGCACCGCCCGCATGCGTCACCCCCACACACAAAACAGCGCTTCGTGGCCCCATAGAGCGCTCCACCGAAGGCCACAGTGGGACCGCCCGGATGAGTCACCTCCCTCCCAGTGCAGCGTTTCGTGGCCCCATCCGGAGCTTCACCGAAGGCCCCAGTGGCACCGCCCGCATGCGTCACCCCCACCCAGTACAGCGCTTCGTGGCTCCATGGAAGCCCAAGTGGAACCGCCCGCATGCGCCACCCCCACCCGGTACAGCACTTCGTAGCCCCATGGGGAGCTCCACCGAAGGTCCCAGTGGCACCGCCTGCATGCGTCACCCCCCACCCAGTGCAGCGCTTCGTGGCCCCATAGGGAGCTCCACCTAAGGCCCCAGTGGCACCGCCCGGATGAGTCACCCCCACCCAAAACAGCGCTCCGTGGCCCGTGGCCCCATAGAGCGCCCCACAGAAGGCCACAGTGGGACCGCCCGCATGCGTCACACCCCTCCCAGTGCAGCGTTTCGTGGCCCCATCCGGAGCTTCACCGAAGGCCCCAGTGGCACCGCCCGCATGCGTCACCCCCACCCAGTACAGCGCTTCGTGGCTCCATGGAAGCCCAAGTGGAACCGCCCGCATGCGCCACCCCCACCCGGTACAGCACTTCGTAGCCCCATGGGGAGCTCCACCGAAGGTCCCAGAGGCACCGCCTGCATGCGTCACCCCCCACCCAGTGCAGCGCTTCGTGGCCCCATAGGAGGCTCCACCTAAGGCCCCAGTGGCACCGCCCGCATGCGTCACCCCCACCCAAAACAGCGCTCCGTGGCCCCATAGAGCGCCCCACAGAAGGCCACAGTGGGACCGCCCGCATGCGTCACACCCCACCCAGCACAGCCTTTCGTGGCCCCATAGGGAGCCCGATCGTGGCCCCATAGGGAGCTCAACGGGAGGCCCCAGTGGATGCACTCGCATGCGTCACCCCCGCCCAGTGCAGCGTTTCGTGGCCCGATAGGAGCACCAACGAAGGCCCCAGTGGCGGTGTTCGCATGCGTTCCCCCCGCCCAGCACAGCGCTTCGTGGCCTCATGGGGAGCTGCACCGAAGGCCCAAGTGGCTGTACTCGCATGCGCGTCCCCACCCATTACACTGTTTCGGTGCCCCATATGGAGCTCTACCGAAGGCCCCAGCAGCGGCCCCGCCCCATTGCGGCGCACCCCTCACACTTCCCCGTAGCGCGGTCCGCCTAACGCACCAGTGGCAACGCCTACATGGCGGCCCCGCCTCACGTCGGCACACCCTTCGCATGCTTCATGGCCCCGTGAGAAGATCCCCCGAAGACGATACCCGCAACGACAATACTCATAACTGCATATGGTTGGGTTCTTCGCCAGAATACTTGAACAGTCCTCCTGTAGAGGAACATGCCCGACTTAACACTAGCGGAGGGAAACAAGCAGATATTTGCAAGGCCTGGGCGGGCGCGCGCGGGGCCCTGAGCAGAGAACGCCAAGGGGCAGATTTCTCAGAGGCGTTGCGCCACCCTAAGTCTGGTGTGGCGGGATGGAAGAAAGACGACCGAAAACCCAGAGCATAAACACAAACAAACCATATACACACTAGAACCATCGCGCGCGCTTCGGGCGCGAGCAAGTTCTAGCTGGGCTTGATGGGCTAACTCATATCATCTCATGTGGCGATTATTGCATCCAGGGACTCTCTTGGAGGCCCTGCGCAAGCCTCGGAATCGTATCGAAGGGGAACTGCGGAAGCACAGAAATCATTAATTGCCGTTAGGTATTCAACGAGTTGGGGCCCTCAAAAGCTTCCTCGGTTCTGTTCTGGGCGCTGAGCGGAGCCTGAATTGTGGCCAATTGTGCAAGAGTAGGTATGGGGGCGAACTTGAAAAAAATGTGGGACTCCCTTTTTACAAGTTGCCGTGATTGGGCTGTGGGTTAGAAACTTTCTGGATGCAGGCCACGGTCTGTTGGGATGCCTTTCGGGGTCTTCGTGCAAAAAAGCAGTGGGCGAATTTGGAAAAAAAGGAATTCCTGAATTATTGTTTCCCAACCAGCCTGTGGTGTTGGGTCCTCGTTTTGAAGAGACGGCCCCCGGATTCTCCGCTTCTCCTCTTCTCCTCTACTCCTCCTCCCCCCTCCTCCCTCCTCCCGTCACCCCTCTCACTTTGGCAGACCCCTCACACGTTTCGTAGTACCATAGGGAGCTCCACCGAAGGCCATAGCGGAGGTGCTCGCATGCGGTCCCCACACCCAGATCGGCACACCCCTCAAACGTTTCGTGGCCCCATAAGGAGCTCCACCGAAGGCCCTAGCGGGGGTGCCCGCATGCGTCCCCCACACCCATTTCGGCACACCCCTCACACGTTTCGTTGCCTCATGGGGAGCTCCACCGAAGGCCCTAGTGGGGGTGCCCGCATGCGGCTCCCACACCCATTTCGGCACACCCCTCACGCGCTTCGTGGCCCATATGGAGCTCCACCGAAGGCCCTAGCGGGAGTGCCCGCATGCGGTCCCCTCCCACTCCCATTTCAGCACACCCCTCACACTCACTTCGGCACACCCCTCACACGTTCCGTGGCACCATGGGGAGCTCCACCGAAGGCCATAGTGGGGGTGTACGCAT